GCGGCGGAGGCGGAGGCGGAGGCGGAAGCGGAGGCGGAGGCGGAGGAGGAGGAGGAGGAGGAGGAGGAGGAGCAACAGGAGGAGGAGGAGGAGGATGAGGAGGAGCAACAGGAGGAGGAGACGGAGGAGGAGGAGGAGGAGGAGGAACAATAATAATAATAAGAATCATACTGATAATATCAACAAGTCTAAGAAGAAGAAGGATAATACTAATAAGAAGAATAATATGATCTTAATAATAAGAAGAAGAATAAGAATAATACTACTACTAGGAGGAACAATAATAAGAAACACTAATAATCATACGAATAAGAAGAAGAATAACAATACGAAAAATAGTCAGAAGAAAACGAATACTAAGAATAATAATCAACATAACAATATTAATAGTATTAATAATAATAATACTCATACTAATAGTAGTAGTAGTAATAGTAATAATAAAATACTACTAATAATAATACTGATAATAATAATAATCGTAATAATGCTAGTAGTAGTAGTAGTAGTAGTAGTAGTAGTAGTAGTAGTAGTAGTAGTAGTAGTAGTAGTAGTAGTAGTAGTAGTAGTTTGTAGTAGTAGTAGTAGTAGTAGTAGTAGTAGTAGTAGTAGTAGTAGTAGTAGTAGTAGTAGTAGTAGTAGTAGTGGTAGTGGTAGTAGTAGTAGTAGTAGTATTTGTAGTAGTAGTATTTTTAGTTGTAGTAGTAGTTGTAGTAGTAGTAGTAGTAGTAGCTGCAGCAGGCAGCAGAGCTAGCTGCAAGCACTAGGCAGCCGCAGAGCAGCAGCAGCAGCAGTAGTAGTAGTTAGTAGTAGTAGTAGTAGTAGTTGTAGTAGTAGTAGTAGTGTAGTGTAGTAGTGTAGTTGGAGAGCTTGAGTCGTAATAATAATATCAATTAACAATAATAATACAAATACTATATTTATTCATACTAAGTAATCAGGAATAGAAATCGTAGGAAGAAGAACATAATAAGAATCGAATTAGTATGAATAATAAGGGAATAACAATAACAATATAATGTAATTTGACTACTAGTAATAATACGAAGAAGATGAAGAGGAGAGGAGGAGGAAGAGGCGGATGTGGGGAGGAGGAGGCGGAGGAGGAGGAGGAGGAGCGGAGGAGGAGGAGGAGGAGGAGGCGGAGGAGGAGTGAGGGGGGTGGGGCAAGCTAGGTGCGCTTGCCGCTTATCTGACGTCCTGCCTCCTCCATCCCATCCCTTACCATGGCGTAGGTCTCCTCTCTATTCGCACAGTCGGATGTCGTAGCAGGGCATAGAATTACATGGCATAGCATGGTGTTGAAGATCAACGCGTAGCCTGACATAGCATGGTGTGGCGATGCCCCAAAGTGGGGGGGGGCTTCTGCGGCCCAGACAATCAACGAATCGCACTTCCGATGGTTGCTTCGGGGGGGCATTTTCTAGATTTTGGGGCCTATTTGGAAGGACTGGAAACCATGCCGTGGCATGGCGCCGGAAATAATGACACCAGCGAGCGCTGCAGCGGGAGCACGATTCGGAACGAGCGGAAGCGCGGAAATGAGGCCAGCGCTGCAGCGGGAGTGCGAGTCGGAACGAGCGGTAGCCCGAAAATGAGGTCAGCGCTTGAGCGACAGCAGCATTTTGAAACACAACCCAAGCGAAATTCTAAACGCTTCGCGTACCTCCACCAGCCGGGGATGGTGTCCATAGGCCCACCCCACGCGCTCTACCTGGCTCCAACGCGTTGCACCTCACGTGCTTCCCCCCCGACGACGCTGCCCTGCAGCTGGGACATAGCGTCCCCCCGCTACCGAGGTCCCACCGCCACGCGCAGTGTGTTCACAGTGGCCAAGGTCTCGCTGACATGGCGTCGCCTTCCCCTCCTCCTTTGATTCACATGTTTTTGCGGCTATCGGCTGCGTCTCCTCCTCCCCCCACTCCTCCTCCTGCGGTTGCGGCCACACACGTTTTCCCCCCACCGAGGCACTACTAGCACTCGGGTCTATGCACCACCTGGCGGCTTCCTCGCTGTGCCCCGAGGTGTGGTCGGGCCGCGCTGCCGCCTCGTGTTGTTCTGACAACTCGGGCCTCCGCCTGCCCGACACCACCGGGGGCCGGACCCAGGGTGAGTGCGGTTCGGCAAGTGGTACACCCTTTGCGCGACTATCGACGTTCCCCCTTCTGGTCCACCACGGCCCCCGTCTGACACACGCCGCTTGGCTCCCCCGTCCTCCGTGATGGATAAGCTGCCTGCGTTGTTCGCCGACGACGTGGTCCACCTCTGGGCGGGAGCCTCTTTCGTGCTCCTGATACTGCTCAAGTGGTTCATCCTTTGTCAGTACTCGCGCTCTCCTACGAGGGGACCATGGTGTTCGGCCACGCCTGCTGCTGTTCCCCCGACACTCCGGGTCTAGCAGTCTAGGTTCGGATTCCGCGTCTGCATCGACGTCAGTGCATTGGTCAATTCGCGCCCATGAGTTCAAGTGAGTGAGTGAGTGAGGCTTCCCCTGCCACCCCTCTTCTGCCCGTGCCTTCCCCGCTCTCTTGCCTCCGAGTGGTGAGCGGCGCGGCCCCACGTGCCCACTCTCCTGCCACTTGGCTGTTTGGCCCTAGCCTGCGCTCTCTGGACTGCACGGTTTGAGCTGGCGCCACTGTGCGTCTTCTCTCCGTATACTCCAGTCTGGTGCCTGCGTCCCCGTTCTCGGGTCGCTTGCATCGTAATGGGGGGCATTTTGCCTCTTGCAGGTGCACCCGCTGCGTCGGCCTAGGCGCCTTTGTAACCAATTATCTCGCCTGTGCCCCAGACGTGCTTGCCCCGCTTCCTGGACTCTTCCTTGGAGCCGCCAATCCAAAAAAATCTCCACCCGCCCGTCCAGAAATGAGTCCCAGGGGAGTGAAGGTGATGAGGGAAGCGGGGGAGCATGCAGAAGAACAAAGGGCGGGGGTAAGCCGCCATATACCCCAAGAGGGGGAGGATGTAGGAGGAGTCGTCGTCGTCGGAGTAGGAGGAGGAAGAGGAGGAGCAAGAGGAGGAGCAGGAAGAGGAGGGGGAGGAGGAGGAGGAAGAGGAGGAGCAAGAGGAGGATATTGAGGAGGGCGGCGACGTGGAGGACGAGAAGGAGGAGAAGGAGAAGGAGAAGGAGAAGGAGAAGGAGGAGGAGGAGGAGGAGGAGGAGGAGGAGGAGGCGAGGGAGGGGGAGGAGGAGGAGGAGGAGGGAGGAAGATGGAAAAGAGGAGGAGGAGGAGGAGGGGAGGGAGGAGGAGGACGGAGGAGGCGGAGGAGGAGGAGGAGGAGGAGTGAGGAGGAGGTGGAGGTGAGGGGAGGAGGAGGCGGAGGCGAGGAGGAGGAGGAGGAGGAGGAGGAGGAGGAGGAGGAGGACAATGGCGAGCTTGGGGGCCTCTTGGGCCGTTTTTGGGGCCCCTTGGCGGTCCTGGGGGCCTCTTGCGTATTTCGGGGAGCCTGTTGGGGCCTCTTGGGGATCTTGGGAGCCTCTTGAAGGCCTCTTGGGCGCCTCTTGGGGCCTCTTGGGGCCCTCTTGGGGCGCTCTTGGGGCGCTCTCGGGAGCCATCGGGGCGCTCTTGGGGCCATGTTGGAGGAGTTCTAAAAAGGGGGGGGGGGGAATTAGCGCTGCCTTTCTAGAGTGCCTCTTGGGCCCCAAAAGAGGCCAACATCCTTCCAAAACCTAAAGAAATCAATGTGTTGTTGCTTTCCCGCCTTTTCGCTCTTGGAGCCGTCTTGGGCCATCTTGGACGCCCCAACGACCCGCGGAACCCCCCGTCCAGGTCCAGGGGAGGGGGTAGGGGGAGGGACAAGACCCCCTCCCCGCCCGCAAGCCGTCTCGCTCACTCCCACCCGCCTTCCCGACACATACGTAGCACCCGAATCTGGCCCGAGCCTCAGCTTATTCAGCAGTCTTCTTCGGATGGGCAGCTACTGGGGGCCAATCCGCCGCCGCCTCCGCCGCCGCCGCCGCCGCCGCCGCTGCCCGCCGCCGCCGTCGCCGCCGTCGCGCCGCCGCCGCCGCCGCCGCTTCCGCCACCGCCGCCGCCTCCGCCCCCCGTTGCCAAACCGCCGCCGCCGCCGCCGCCGCCAGTCGCTGCCACCGCCGCCGCAGCCGCCGCAGCCGCCGCCGCCGCCGCCAAGTGTACTCTGTATTGTTTTTTGACAGGGATGGTGGGGGGGGCGCATCGGGCTGGCTGCGCATATTCCGAATTTGAAGGCAGAGTGTGTTGTATTGTTTTTTGCAAGGGATGGTGGGGGGGTGTCGTCATGGACCCTGGTTGGTCCCCAGTCGCCTGGGGGAGGGGGTGTTCATTAATAGGGAACAGTGATTAAACCCCTCCCCGAAGGGGGGGGGGGAAGAAGAAACTCTCTAGACCACCGACGCCCAGAGGGCTGGTGGGACTCGTTTCCCGGGAATCCTGTGTGTAAAAAACCAATGCGCGGAGGGGGGCCGAACATTCCCCGGACGTCACCAGGAGAGAGAGGAGAGTAGTATGCATATTTTGTGACTGTGGAGAGGCAGGAGGAAGACATTGATGGCGAGAAGGAGGGGGTTGCTTCGCCCCCCCTGGGTCGGCGGCGGCGGCGCTGGGACGCCTCCCCCCCCGCTCGCGCGCCAGTGGCTCGTGGACGCCCTCCAGGCCGGCGAGCAGCGCGACGAGAAGCTGGATCGCCTGGGGGTGGGGTTGTTGCAGGGAGGGGACGGGGAGAAACGGGGTCAGTGGAACAAAGAAGAACCATAAAAGCGGCAATCAAAAACGGGTCTGGCGCAAGATGGCACAGGGGCCTTATGCGGCGGCTTAAGCGGGCCGGCGCGGGACCTTACGCGGGAAGCTTACGCGCTTGTGTCGGTGAAAACGACCCCTTTTCTTGCATCGCTCACACAAATTTCCTCAGGTCCGCGCGGATTTTCCGACTGGCGCTGGGGCCCTTTGGCGGCGCCTCCGGCGCCGCCTTTGGCGCGCTCTGCGCTCCATGGAGGGGAGCCCAGCGCACATCTGAGGATCCCGCGAGGAGCTCCGAAACTTTTTGGTTCCTGTAGAAGAGGAACATCTACCGATACAGCTGCTGCTCGTCCTCGAGGGCCCTCGTCGCCACGGTTGGATTCTGTGTGAAATTCAAGGAAAAACGCACCCCCAGAGAGGTCCAGGAAGTAGCGGTGTCTGTATCGGTCGTCCCCCACGGTAGGAGGGCTAACCCGTAATTCGATTGCCCCGTGGTTGCCCCGTGGTTGCCTCGTGTTTGTCCCGTGGTTGTCTCGTTGTTGTCCCGCGGTTCTCCCGTTGTTGTGGTCTCCATCCATGGAGCGGAATAGCAAGACATACTGTGGCATCGACTTATAAAAGTTCATAGGGAGACCGATTAATTGTACACTACAACTGTGTCTATACAGAGAGTAAAGATCGATAGAGAGAGAGAGAGACAGAGAGAGAGAGAGAGAAATGCCGACCTAGACGGAGATATCGAGATATACCGAGACAATTATTTGTTCATGTCTGTCAGTCAGTCAGTCTGTCTGCCTGTCTATATGTCTCTCTCTATTTATATCGGAGGTGAGGGGGTGAGATCGAAGTGGACCGGAGAGCCCCCCTACCGGGAAAATCGATTTCGGTTTCGTGTGGTGCGCCCGTGCAGGCGTAGGCGAGGCGAAGCATGCGTGGGCGGGGAGGAAAGACTCTGTGGAGGCGGCGCGGCTGGGACCAAATGGGCGGGCCTCCGGTGAGGGCCGGTGGCCCGCGGTTGTCCGCCGGTGTCCGCGAAAAGTCCCGCAGGTGCTGCTTGTCGATTGGTTGCCCCTTTTTTTTTTTTTTTTGTCTGTGTTTTTGATGACTTTTGGTATTTCTATTTTTTGACTTTTTTGTTTTTTTTTGTTTTTGTTTTGTTTTTTTTTTTGTTCTGTTGTTTTTTGGCTTTTTGTTTTTGGTGATTTTTTTTTTTTTTTTGAGGCGCGGCCGGACCATGATTTTGATGATGATGATGATGATGATGAGATGCGGAGATGGTGATGGTGATGTTGTGATGATGATGATGATGATGTTGCTGTGTGAGGATGGACGATGATGATGCTGATGATGGTCTGTCCCGTTGATGCATGATGATGATGCTGCTGATGATGATGATGACGATGATGATGATGCTGATGGTGTCCCGATGATGAGGATGATGATGATCATGATGATTATGTTGATGATCATGATGATGACGATGATGGTGTCCCGATGATGATGAGTATGATGATGTCGATGATGATGATGCTGATTATGATTGTGTCCCGATGATGATGATGATGATGATGATGATGATGATGATGATGATGTTGATGATGAGGTTGTTGATGATTATGGCGTCCCGATGATGATGATGATTATTATGATGGTGATGATGATGATGTTGATGATGATGATGATGATGGCGTCCCGATGGTGATGATGATGATTGTGATGATGATGATGATGATTATGATGATGATGATGATGATGTTGATGCTGATATTGGTAATGATGATGATGGTGCCCAGACGATGACGATGATGATGATGCTGATCATGATGTTGATGATGCTGATGATGATGTCGATGATGAGGATGAGATGATGATGATGATGATGATGATGATGATGATGATGATGATGATGATGGTGTCCCGATGATGATGAGTATGATGATGATGATGATGATGATGATGATAACGATGGTGATCCATCATGTGTCCCGATGATGATGCTGCTGCTGATGATGATGATGACGATGACTGTGTCCCGATGTTGCTGATGATGATGATGCTGATGATGATGATTGTGATGATGGTGATGATGATGATGATGGTGGTGTCCCGATGATGTTGATGACCGTGATGATGAGGATGTTGGTGTTGATAATGAGGACTGTGTCCCGATTATGATGATGATGTTGGTGATGATGATGTTGATGCTGATGTTGTTGTTGATGATGATGACGATGACGTTGATTGTGAGAGCGGGTGTGATATCGATAGTGAGATCGATAGTGAGACCGAATGTGATATCGATTGTGAGATCGATTGTGAGATCGATGGTGAGATCGATAGTCAGATCAATTGTGAGATAGATCGAGTGAGATCGATTGTGAGATCGATCGAGGGAGATCGATCGAGCGAGACCGATACTGAGACCGATAGTCAGATCGATAGTGAGACCGATCGAGTGAGACGTTGGTTCCTCCCCCCCCCCGAACCTCCTTATCACCCGAAGGGTGGTCGTATAGGTATACCTATACGACCACCCTGCGAGTGATAAGGAGGTTGGGGGGGGGCCAGCAATGGGCAACAGTGGTCAATGTTGTTGTGACAATGCCAGTGGAGATAGTTGCGTTGCCGCTCGCTCTTGGGGGCGTTGGTGTCGAGTTGTTTACGTCACCCTTCCCCTGGGAACCTGCCCAACCTGCGCAACGGCAGCTAACGGCGCCATTTGGCCATTTGGTCACTACCGATCTCACAATCGATATCACTATCGATGTCGTCATCATCATCATCGACATCACCATTAACATCATAATCATCGTCATCATCATCATCATCAGCATCATCATCATCATCATCAACGTCGTCATCATCATCATCATCATCACAATCATCATCACCATCATGGCCATCATCACCATCAGCATCGCACAATCGATCTCACATTCGGTCTCACTATCGATCTCACTATCGATCTCACACTCGACGTCATCATCATCTTCATCATCATCATGATCATCATCATCATCAACGACACCAACATCATCATCATCGCCATCATCAACATCATCATCATCATTACCATCATCATCATCATCACCATCATCATCATCATCATCATCATCATCATCATCATCATCATAATCATCCACGTCATCATCGGGACACCGACGGGACACCGAAGGGACACCAGCGGGACACCGGCGGGACACCGCGCGGCACCGGCCGCCCGGTCAAGGTTTTTTTGCCCCGGCCGCGCCTCAGCCACACGGGACACCAGCGGGACACCAGCGGGACACCGCGGGGCACCGGCCGCCCGGTCAAGGTTCTTTTGCTCCGGCCGCGCCTCAGCCACAGGAGACTTTCTCTCGCCCGCCCACGCAGAGTCGCCTCGCCCGCACGGCACGCACGAACACGAAACCGAAATCGATTTCCCGGTAGGGGGGCTCTCCGTTCCACTTCGATCTCACCCCCCAACCTCCGATACAGATACATGCATGCGTATCGGGGTATGCGTATATAGGTACGGAGATCGCTAGAGGGACAGATCATGACTCCGATCAGACGCCAATCGTAAATCGAAAGCTGCACCCTTCCCCCTCAACCTCCTCATCAGTTGAAGGGTGGTCTCATCGGCAGGTAATGGTTTCATCAGTGTTGGGTTATGCATTGCGCAGGGACCATGGTTGGGCTAGTAGCGAATTTGCTCAAGCTGCTCTTGCTTGCTAAGTTTTTTTCACAAGACGCTGTGCCGCCAGCTCCACAGTCGCGGCTTTCGGCAGCATGGGCAACGCGGAGGGGTGTGGTGGTCGTTCGCAGTCCAGGATAGAAGCACAGTCCAAGTGTGTGGTGGTCGTTGACCCCTACTCCACTGGTGCGTGCTTGGCATTGGAGTGCATGTCTCGAGGCTATCAGGTGATTGTCGTCTGGAGCAAGGAGATCTCGGACGAGATGAAAAGCCACATCCCTGGCACGTGCGCCGACCTGAAATACGTAGCTGAGGTCACAGAGATGGGCACTATCGAAATGGTGGCTACCGCTGTGAAGGGGGTTGTCCCCACGGAGCTAGCGGCCGTGATCGTAGGCGGCGAGTCGGGCGTGCCTCTGGCGGACGCGCTGTCCGAGCACCTGGGCGTGCGCACCAACGGGACACAGATCCCGCAGCGCCGCGACAAGAAGATCCAGCAGGAGCTCGTGAAGGCGGCGGGGCTTCGGTCGGTGCGCCAGGCGGGGGGCACGCGCTTGAAGGACGTGGAGGAGTTCCTGAGGACCGAGCAGATGCTGGTGGTGGTGAAGCCTGTGGAGTCGGCTGGCTCCGACGGCGTGAAGCTGTGCCACTCGGAGGAGGAGGCGCGCGAGCACTTCGAGGTTCTGATGGGCGCGCAGCAGAAGGTGGGCAGCCAGGGCGCCGCGGTGCTGTGCCAGGAGTTCCTGAAGGGCAAGGAGTACGTGGTGGACCACGTGTCGAGGGACGGCGTGCACAAGACGGTGATGGTCTGGGTGTACGACAAGCGCGCCGTGAACGGCGCCGCGTTCGTGTACCACGGCATGCTGCCGGTGGCATCGGACTCCCCGGAGGCGCAGGCCGTGATCCCCTACGTCCGCGGCGTGCTGGATGCGCTGCAGATCAAGAACGGGCCCACGCACGGCGAGGTGATGATGACGCCCGACGGCCCCTGCCTCGTCGAGATGAACTGTCGCGCGCACGGCGGGGACGGGGCGTGGATGCCGCTGGCGCGCGCGCTCACTGGCGGCTACTCGCAGGTGGACGCTGCGGTGGACAGCTTCCTGGACGCACAGCAATTTGAGCAGCTGCCCGACAGGCCGCCCAGCCCGTTCTTGGCGGCAGGGCAGGAGGTGATGCTGGATCTTGAGCACCCAATGTGGATCACACCTCATGGCCGAATTGCCAGCTGGCTTGCGTATGCAGCTCCTGAGGAGCTGAATCCACCCTCCCCCCACACTCTTCCGTGGCACAAGGCGCCCCAGGGGGCGCCACAAGAAGTGGGGCTGGAGGTCAAGTGACGCGTGAGTCCAGCTCCGGAGGAGGTGCGGGGTGCGGAGGCTGTCTGGCATGCGTCGGCGACGAGGGTGACCCATAATGAAGGCACGCTCTCGACCCTGATGAGAGGTGATGCTCGTGTCGTTCACAGCTGGCACCGTGACTGGCCTGCCGGGGTACGACAGGATCCGCGCGCTGCCCTCTTTCCTGCACCTGGAGGGGCCCATCAAGCCAGGCGACAAGATCGAGCGTACCGTGGACCTCTTCACCAACGTGGGGTCCGCCCTCCTCATGAACAAGGACCCTGAGTCTCTCGCCAGGGACGTGCAGGCCATCCGCGACATGGAGGCCGACTTCTCTATGTTCGAGCTCGAGGAGCATCCCATGCGCCTCAAGCGACCCCGCGCCAACAGCGAGCTGCGTGACGTCTCCACGCCCACGCCTCGCGTGCGCGCTTTCTCAGAGAATCGACCCGATCTTGCTGACTTCTCCGAGTCGCGTTCGCGGGCCTATTCCGAGCATCGCCCCAGCCTGGCCGAGCTCCCCGAGGACAGCTCTGACGAGCAGGTACGCGCGGTGGTTGTCGTGGACCCTTACTCCACAGGTGCATGCGTGGCGCTGGAGTGCTTCCAGCGCGGCTTCAAAGTCATATCCATCTGGAGCCTTGCTGCCACCGAGGAGCTGCGCGACCCGTCGCATCAGCCTCAGAGCTGTCGCGAGCTGGTTTATTCAAGACGCTTTGCGTCCACCGCCCGTCCATGATGGTTCCCGCCAGAAGAGCCGAGGACATCTCCAAAAGTCAGATTCTAGACGCTCTGCGTACCCCCACGAGCCCACCGAGAAATGTATCCCAAGAAGTCTGGGAGCATGCCTACACACGCTGCGAACACATGAAGGGGAAACTGGTCAGGGAGAGGCTGCAGTTGTAGATATGCGCAGGATATCGCAGTACAGCGGTCGTGGAACGCAGAGGGACGTTGGCTCGATCGTGTCATCTGCAGACAGAATGTGTCGCAGCGTGTTATCACTCCTGCTTCGTAGGACACTTGGGTTTGCCGAGTTGGCGAGCCCAAAAAAAACACAAAAAAACCACTAAAAAATAATCGGACACTTGGGTTTGCCGAGTTGGCGAGCCCGTAGGGGAAGACGAGCAGCGTCTGATTTTGCAGCAGGGTTTGGCGATCATGGGGGGCGTCTTGGGCCCCTCCTAGGGCCTTCTTACGGACCTATTGGGCCATCTTGAATCATCTCGAATCATCTCGAATCATCTTGAGGCCTCGAGGGCCCATCGGAAGTGAAGCGGAGGGAAGAGAAACATGTTAGCTAGCGTGGGCCCTAAGCAGTGAGTTGTTGCACTGTGGAGGTGGCAGCTATGAGGTGTAGGCTATGCTGTAAAAGCTTCGTTGTGCAAGCTTTGTGGTATGAGCTATGAATGTGAAGCAATGCGGCGTAAGCTGTATTGAGTAATACGGGTGGAGCAAGCCATGTGGTGCGAGCTGGAGGCGAAGCTAAGCGGTCTGAGCGATGCGGTGTAAGCTATGCTGTGTCAGCTGTGTGGTCATAGCTATGTTGTGTAAGCTAGGCCGTGTAAGCTATTCGATATCAGCTCAGCGCACGGGGCGCCCACGAGCGCCCACGAGGTGGCACAGGCGACAACGTGGCGCAACCTCGGCAAACCCACCCAGCGAACGGGTCGCCCACGAGCTCCCATGAGGTGGCTGGGACGGCAACGTGGTGCAACCTCGGCAAACCCACCCATCGCACGGGTCGCCCACGACCGCCCATGAGGCACGGGTTGCAACGCGGCACAATTTTGGCACACCCCCCATCGCACGGGGCGTCCACGAGCGCCCATGAGACGGCCTGGGCGGCAACGTGGCGCAACCTTGCCCCCCCCCCCCCCCAGCGCACGGGGCGCTCACGAGCGCCCACGAGGCGGCACGGGTTGCAACCCCCACATATATTTTGACGTAAGGTGTTCCTATCTGGTCATACGGATTGCTTGTTCAGAGACCCCTGCCGGATTTGGTGACGCTGTTGCTTTCATAGTTGGGGTCGACGTTGGGGTGATTGGCCTTTCGGAAACGTTCTTGGGAGGCTCCGTGGCCAATGGGAGCCGTCTTGGGAGGGTCGTAGCGCCTCTTGGAGGCATGTTGGAATCTATCTTGAGCAATCGTGGGCTATCTTGTGCGACCTTGGAGGCCATCATAGGCTATCCGGGCCCTCTGGGGGTCACCTTTAGCCATCTTGAAAGCTCCAACGACCCGCGACCCCCCTTCCAGACTTCAAGGAGAGGGGGTAGGGGTGGATTTTGCACCTACGCCCGAAGGGCCGCTGGGATCAGTTTAGACGATTCTTGCCTTCAGCCATCGTGGTTTACAGTCGGACCGAGGTATAAGATCGAGGTCGGTTTGGGAAGGGTATCCTAATGTGCTTCGTGTTTGTTGGATGTTCTTGTGCATCCAGGGGAGGGTACCCTTAGCTGTTCTGTTTGTTTTGGCCGACGGGGGGTCTCGTGTTCGTGATGGATGTTATTCTGGCCTAGGTCCGAGTGCATCTTGGGACAACTTTAGTCGGCCTGGAACCGTCTGGACCCATGTCGATCTTATCGGGGGTCCCGCGAGCCTGAGGGGGGGGTGGCTTGGAAGTGTTTGAGGAGTTGAAGCCCCGGCCCTGCCGCTCCTCCTCGCAGACGGGATTCTGGACATCGGGGGAGGGGAACTTTTAGCGGCGCGCAGAGGTGGGGCTAGGGGGGGAGGGGGGAAGGCTTCTTCGAAGCCCCCCTGCTTCTTAGAAGGCGCGGGCCTTGTCTGTAGATGTAAGGCCGGCGCCTTCCAAGAAGCAGCCTCCTTCTGAGAAGCCTTCCCCCCCTCCCCCTACCCCTCTGTGCGCGCCGCCAAGAATTGGGGGGGGGGGACAGCCACTCTTCTCACACGCCTTCTCGCCCCCTGCACGCGGGGGTCGGCGGACCACGCGCAGCTCTCCGAGGAGAAGGCCATGGAGGAGACAGGCGAGGCCGTCAGGCAGGCTTGCGGTGAGTTTGAGCTCGCGGCCGTGATCGTAGGCGGCGAGTCGGGCGTGCCTCTGGCGGACGCGCTGTCCGAGCACCTGGGCGTGCGCACCAACGGGACACAGATCCCGCAGCGCCGCGACAAGAAGATCCAGCAGGAGCTCGTGAAGGCGGCGGGGCTTCGGTCGGTGCGCCAGGCGGGGGGCACGCGCTTGAAGGACGTGGAGGAGTTCCTGAGGACCGAGCAGATGCCGGTGGTGGTGAAGCCTGTGGAGTCGGCTGGCTCCGACGGCGTGAAGCTGTGCCACTCGGAGGAGGAGGCGCGCGAGCACTTCGAGGTTCTGATGGGCGCGCAGCAGAAGGTGGGCAGCCAGGGCGCCGCGGTGCTGTGCCAGGAGTTCCTGAAGGGCAAGGAGTACGTGGTGGACCACGTGTCGAGGGACGGCGTGCACAAGACGGTGATGGTCTGGGTGTACGACAAGCGCGCCGTGAACGGCGCCGCGTTCGTGTACCACGGCATGCTGCCGGTGGCATCGGACTCCCCGGAGGCGCAGGCCGTGATCCCCTACGTCCGCGGCGTGCTGGATGCGCTGCAGATCAAGAACGGGCCCACGCACGGCGAGGTGATGATGACGCCCGACGGCCCCTGCCTCGTCGAGATGAACTGTCGCGCGCACGGCGGGGACGGGGCGTGGATGCCGCTGGCGCGCGCGCTCACTGGCGGCTACTCGCAGGTGGACGCTGCGGTGGACAGCTTCCTGGACGCACAGCAATTTGAGCAGCTGCCCGACAGGCCGCCCAGCCCGTTCTTGGCGGCAGGGCAGGAGGTGATGCTGGTCTCTTTTACGGAGGGTACAGTGAAGTCGTGCCCAGGCTACGAGCGTATCAAGGCGCTCGACTCGTTTGTCTATCTGGAGTCGGCGATCGATGCTGGCTGCCGCATCGACTATACCACTGACCTCTTTACGAACGTCGGCTCTGCCATCCTCATGCACAGGGACGAAGCTCAGCTGCGAACGGACGTGGAGACGATCAGGAATATGGAGAAGGAATGCGCCCTTTTTGAGCTGGAGGAAAAGCCCGGAAACTTGTGTCGCCCACGCGCTCGCAGCGAACATGTGACGATGATGACGGGGTTTTGGAGATGATCCTTGGATGGTGCGTGGTGCACTTCGCTTCGCGGTGGAAGCGGCCAGACAAACCCTCCACCCCCCCTCCTCCGTTCGGCTGGCGAGCGAATTTCGGACACTGGTGGCGAGGCTGATGACGACCACTGGCGGCTACTCGCAGGTGGACGCTGCGGTGGACAGCTTCCTGGACGCACAGCAATTTGAGCAGCTGCCCGACAGGCCGCCCAGCCCGTTCTTGGCGGCAGGGCAGGAGGTGATGCTGGTCTCTTTTACGGAGGGTACAGTGAAGTCGTGCCCAGGCTACGAGCGTATCAAGGCGCTCGACTCGTTTGTCTATCTGGAGTCGGCGATCGATGCTGGCTGCCGCATCGACTATACCACTGACCTCTTTACGAACGTCGGCTCTGCCATCCTCATGCACAGGGACGAAGCTCAGCTGCGAACGGACGTGGAGACGATCAGGAATATGGAGAAGGAATGCGCCCTTTTTGAGCTGGAGGAAAAGCCCGGAAACTTGTGTCGCCCACGCGCTCGCAGCGAACATGTGACGATGATGACGGGGTTTTGGAGATGATCCTTGGATGGTGCGTGGTGCACTTCGCTTCGCGGTGGAAGCGGCCAGACAAACCCTCCACCCCCCCTCCTCCGTTCGGCTGGCGAGCGAATTTCGGACACTGGTGGCGAGGCTGATGACGACCACCGTGTCGCGCGCGGATCTGTCTCAGCCTCCCTCTTCGCCTTGCCGCCCCCTCCTCGGGGTCCTCCTAGTTCTCGCACTCTTCCTCGTTCTCGTTCTAACCCACCTTGCTGCTCCCTTTCATCACTGTTACTTACGAGTAACCAACTCCTCCGCGTCGCACTACCAGACGTGTTGGTAGGGCGTGCCAGGCGATCGAAGCTTGTGGTCCTTTCTCGACTTGTGACCTTGAAGTGAAGTTCACAACAGCGAGCGGGATGGAGGGCGGGTCGTTTTCGACACGCGGCTCTCGCGTTAGTACCGCGCGCATTCGTCTCAAGCGTTCGCAACACTCGCACGGATAGCGGGTCATCGCTGTAGTGCGTTATACAAGCTTTGTAGCAGGTGCACAGGTGCTTGGCGGATCCTTTCAGAGCAGGGCGTGGTATTTGCATCCGTCATACGGAAGGAAGGCGGCTCTTTTTCAAATGTGTGCCTCGCGCGGGTCTTTTCTTCAAGATGCTTACGCCATTTCGCCGACACCCCAGCAGAAGAGTGATGCAGGTGCTGCAGCGTCGCCGGTTCTGTTGGGTAGAGGTGCAGGAGGGGGTAGACGACGAGCCTTTTTTCAAGCCGCTTGGGGTCTGATGCGGGGCGTTTTGGGGCACTCGTGGAGGCTTCGGGGAAGGTCTTCCGGAAGCTGTTCGAGGCCTTACGAGGGGTGCTTTGGGGCCTGTTGTTGGCCTGTCGGGGGCTTTTTGGAAGCATGCTGGAGATTTGGGGGGCCTTGTTGGGGGAGAGGCTCCGAGTTCCTTCTCTTGTAACCCTCTGGGGGGCTTCTTGGGCCGGTCTCGGGCTGGTGTTCGGGGCCTCTTTGGCCGTCTTGAGCTTGAGCTTTGGGAAGCCCGAAGTTGAGAGAACTCGAGATTCGTCCAACAAATCCAGAAAAGTCAGTTCGCTCTGCCAATTGGAGCCCTCTTGGGCCTGCGGGGCTCTTGGAACGCATCTTGAGCACCGTGGAGGCGTCGGAGGCTGGATTTGGAGGCTCCGAGGGCTCGGGAGGTGCGTGGAGGTGCCCGCGGCCCTCGCCTCCTCCCCCCACCCCGTAACAGGATTCTGAGCACCTGGGACGGGGGAGAGTGCAGGGATCTGTTCGATTCTTCCGGTCCGGTTCGATTCGACTTCGTTGGATTCCGATTCTGATTAGATTCGATTTGGGATTCCGATGTGGGCCACGAATTCTCAGTGGAGGCTTACCAGCCTGCCGATCTCCGCCGAATCGACTTCTCCAGACTCGGCTGCCGATCTCCGCCGATCCGATTCGTTTGAACCGCCGATTCGACTCATCGATCCGATTCTGCGTTCTCCCGTTTTGGACAGGATTTGGGGCACCTGGGAAGGGAGAAAATGGGAAGGGACATCTTTCAGGAGGAAACACAGACACAATTAATCGTCGATCCCAAGGAAATATCAGAAACGACTGGAAGTGGAGGGGAAGACGAACCTCCAGAACACCTGAACAAATACAGGGAATCCTGGGATGTGTGTCTATTTACTTGAGTGCCCCTGGGCCCCTTTTTCATCCAAGCATCATCACGATTTGTCACCCCCGACAAGCGGGGGTCGGCGGGCGTCAAAATGTAACGCCCCGACTTCGAAGCGTGCGCCACAGTCATGCGCAGGGAGGGCGGCCTCTTTTCAACATGGGGCTCCTCCTCCTCCTCCGCCTTCTCCTCCTCCTCCAGCCCCCGGGCTCGAAAGATTCAAGCAAACGAGGCCCGAGACCGAATTCAGAAGATGCAACCCAGGCGCCTCGGCCACGTGGCCGTCTCTAAGAAGACAGGGCGGCCACCGACATGGCGAAGGTGAGGGTGCTCGGCTGGAACCCTATGTGGGCTGTGGGTGACCGCCTCCAGGAAGTCACCGACTGCACGAGTAACATGGATTTCACGTTGCTGGCTGGCATCCAGAGCGCCTGCCGTGAGGCTCATCATGTCCTCCAGCGGCGGATCGGTGGTCGACTGATTCTTGAGGCAGCAGTTTCGCCTGGACTATACACCAACTCGAGTGCGGGAGTGGATATTATTCTCGGACGTGGCATTCGCGACCATCACGTTCGGAGAGTATTCCCGAGCCCACCTGGCCTGGGAGGCCGACGTCTGGCCGCCCGAGTTCGCCAGGGCATCCTCGACGTGTGCGTAGGCGTGCTCTACTTTTCTCCTCGGCCCCGCAGCCGTGGGGCGGGCCCGAGGTACTCTCACACTGTCGCCAAGATGATTGCATGGTGGCGTGAGTGTTTGTCTTTGGTGCCAACTCGGTGCGTGCCAATCTTCTCTGACCTCAATGACGGCATCGGCTGCAGGAAGATCGACGCAAACTGGCAGGAGTACCAAAGTGAGGTTGTGGGAAGTGTGCGTACACGGGAGCGCAGGCATAGATGGGCGGGTGATTTGCCGGCGGGCCTTCTTGCTGTGCAGCATATCATGGCCGCCAACACCTTCGGCAAATACGAAGCCGCCTTTTATGGGAAGGGCCCAGAGGGGACAAACAGCTTGATCGACTTCAGTTTCTTTCCCCAGGGCTGGGCGTCGCATGTCACACGCTGTCATACGCTACGGCGCATCGGTGCCCAGCTCCAGGCTCAACGGGGACGGCCTCCGAGAGATCATGCACCTGTATACTTGGAGCGTCTTCACCCGCGAGGGCCCCAGGACTGTGACAAGGTCCAGGCTCCGCCCACATGGGACATGACGGCCCTGCTCGGGGCAATCAAGAGGGGCGACTGTCGCTTGGACTTCGTCGAGGGCGTCGGCACGTGGCTGGGGGACCGCGTCGGCGAGAGGCTCCAGGCCCACGACCAGGACGCGCCTGATCACACCTTCGAGCTTCTGGAGCAGTGCTCGGGCGATGTGGGCAGCGAGTTTTTTTTACCAAGCCGTCGGACCTCCCAGATGAGCGCGCGCACTGGGTTCAACTTCGGCGGGACCTTTTCAAACAAAACGAATTGAAGTGCGTGCCGCTCGGGTGGGCGCCGTTTACTTGGAGGCAGCCGAGCCAGAGCTGAAGGGCCTCTCCCATCGGCTGCGCCTCCTTCGTCGGCAACACCTTCGGGCTGTTCAGGAGTCGCACGTCGAGGCGTCTTTCGGGGCCTGGGCCAGGCGCAACATGTGCGACGCAATGTGATGGGCTCGGAGGGCAGCTGGGCGCAGGTGCCCAGCAGAA